CTACTCACTGAAATCTATGACTTACTCAAACATTTGAAACACCTGTTTCCCAAATATGCAATTATTCCAATGAAATTGCCTCTTTTAGTTTTGTTTGAACAGAAAAATCATGAACGCTAACTGGACATGTTCAAAAGTAATTGTGCAAAAGGGATGTTTGTTGTAATATAGTGCAAATAATGCTTAGAATTCTTTACCTTGAACAAAATATTCATAGATGGATTGTAGCTGGTAAACTATAGAAAAAGTAAAATATCTCAAAAGCCGTTTAGTGTGTAAATTTAGACACAGGAACCATCAGTAAATCATGCCTGATTATGTTTCATTCTGAAAATATGAAGTAGGAATTTCTCCATTTTATTCATCGATTATATACTTAAAAAAACTACTCACCGAATAGCTCTGATGTTTCTTCCTATAGCAACTTATTATATTGATTTCCGCAATAGTATTTATGGTTTTTGTAAAACATTTTCATACACCCGAGTGAGCAACGCTGTTATTAGGAAACGGGTGCTAGATAAGAATGACAGATCAATAGATGAAGTGGTGAAACTTCATCAGTTGAGGTGGTTGGGACATGTGTTGCGTATGCCAAACCACCGACTGCCTTGAAGAGCTTTGTTTTGTAGTGTAGGAGTAGGTTGGAAGAAAGTTAGGGGCGGCCAAACCAAAACATGGCAGAAATCCATGAAGTCATTGACGAGTGGACTGAGCCATGTCGGTAATTGTCGACTACCTGGTTGGGGTCCGTGAGATGATAATAATCGATGGTTAGAGACCTTGAATGACATGGCTCAAAATCGAACGCAATGGCGCCGGTGCATTTACCCTTTGTGTTCTCTCAAATCCTAATCTTCTGGAATCTTCAGCACCTCTAGTTTTGACTTTCCAAACTTTTCTCACTGAATCATACATCTTGAATAATATCTTCTGATTCTAACCTCTCCGATTACTTCTAATACCTTTACTACCTCTTCTACTATTGGATTTGAATTGACAATTACATTTCTGTGCTGATGTGGTATGGCAACATGAACTGATGTACTTACGTACGAAGTTCTACGTTGCGTCTGACTGACATCATTAAGTATTTTACACATTAGTGAAAAGAATTTTTTACATGGTTTACTGTATAACCGATCTCTTATACGCTTTATCAACAAAAAAACTTTCATGTATTCAAGATGACGTATAAACTGTCTGAAAACATTTTTCGTCATAAGAGGAAATCACTAGTTTGCCGACTGACAGAGATGGGTATACATGATATTCACACAAATTCACGAGGGGAACACAAACGCCTTATACTAATTGGTCAGAATAAGATTATTTAATGCCATCGATGATATCCATCTCAACTCAGATATAAGTGAACTCTACTAGTGTGATTAAAACTAAACTCAAACTGAGAAAACTACCGTCTGGTTGAGCTAACTCAGAACAGAAGCTTTATATCTAAAGAATAATATATTTACTGTGTTGAATTATGATATTGTGAATCTGTCAATGGATTTCTGACTTTCGAAAAACTCACAAAGTCAAATTATTGGTGTAAGCCTCCAAAGAAGTGAATTCAGAGGATAGCTCCTTAGTAGACCAGGTTTTTCCTAATAAAAAGAAACTGTTTGTTGGACAGAAGATTTACATAAAATGAGCATAATTAAATGTCATAATCATACAAATTTTAAAGGTCGATCGCTCTCCAGTGTATTAAAACAATGCTTGTTTTGCCACTTTCTCAACCAATGATCATTAAGAATCAAGTAATCATATATTGATATGTAACACAAATTTAAAGTACTGACAGTGAGTCAAATAAATATTTTTGGTTGAAATCATTGCTTAAATTACTCTAATTTTAGTTGAACTGCATCCTTTTGCTCCTAAGTTGATTTATCCATACTGAACATCCAGCCTTGGATTATTTTCTATAAATTCAATTTCTACCTGTACATAGTATCACTTTTCTACTGTTGAATTATTTTCATGAATTTATCCTTTATTACTTGTTAGGTATTTTTAAGCATTATTGCAGTCATTGTAGTTTTCAGTCTACAGAATATTGTGTTAACGGTTATTAGTAACTTGTGAATATCTAAATAAATTTTAACGAAGCATTTAATACTATTCATTCGTATTGGTTGTTTGAATCTTTTCTTTGATGTTTAGGACTGCAATCTGTCCCTCTCTCTTATGCAGATTGCTTCGATATTAACTTTAGGTTAGAAGCATTATTATCAGAGGTGAATCATGACTAGTAGTGGAATCTAGAACACGCCTTTCATCCTATTTCAGATTCATCAGCTGAATGAATGTATCTGCATCTCAAAGTTGATCTTCACTCCGAGACTCGAACCCAGTACCTTTCGCATATATGCAAAAGGAACTGATCACTTTCAGTCCGAAACACCAACTGGAAGATTAGAGCGACCAACACAAATGAATTAATCTTCACCCCCATGCAGAAGTGAGTAGCTATTTTGACTCAGTATCCAAGTGGAAATCGAAATAGTGTTCGAAGTGAACGCCTCTTCTGTAATGAACGAAGACGTTAAGACCAGATAGAACAAGCCATTTAGTGAAAGAAAACACACTTTACTGGCGAAATATGTACACCTCATCTTCAGAATTTATTTGGAAAACAGGCAGATTCTTGGCTGTCTTCGAGTTTTCACGACACTTTGATTGCTTTACACATCACTCTTCTCCTCAGCAGTAACTTGTGGACGACACTCTGATGCATACTATATACAGGTCACGTTACAAGTAGTATACGCCACATTGTGTTCGAGTACCAGAGTGAACATCAGCTCTGAGATTCAGGCACATTCAGCCACCGAGTCTCAAATAGGACGGAACGCGAGTCATGGATTCTCCCATTAACCACTACCCACCTCTCCTAATAATTTAATATTGTTAGCCAACAACTCCAAATACCAATTAGCATTCGATTAGAACCACGTTCAAATAAAATGGATTTCCAAGTAAATTTACCTGAGAAATTGTGAATTTATTCGACTTGATAATGCACGAAACACTGAGGATCGAGAAATACAATTTCCCGACCATTGACTGGTTGCAAACTAAAGGTACGGGAAATTATTACCTTATCTTCACATTACGAATGGAGACAAATCGAATGTATAAACTCAAATGTTATTATAATTCCAAAATAAATAGTTGCTGTATCAATTAGAAGAAAATCTCTTTGCTTCACATGCTTACATGGATTCAGAAAATCGCTAAATAGTCATGGATGTTTTGTACTTAGAAAGATATGTCATTAAAACTAGTTGAAGAGTTCATAGGCATTCGTATATAACCTGAACTCCCAAAACGTTTCACTAAATATATAGTGGTTTACTGCCATTTTGGTGCAGTTGTTAAAATGATAGCTATTAGCGTAGAATGGAGTCTTCCAGATGAAGCATTCTAGGGGTAGCTCTGACCTTACATTATCTCATCTGATGTACACCATATTGAAATGCATAATGATTTCAAAACACCCTTGCTGTCACCATGAAGTTTTCTGAGCTCGGAGAACGAAACTCCACTACAAGCAACGTACAATTCATGTTAGACAGCTTTCTACAGACACTCATGATAAGTTGATTTTCCTTGAAACAAAGTTGTTGGTTTTTAACTAAAATCTTGGGTATTACGCTAATTTTCCTTGTATTCAATGAACACCCAAATATTAGAGCTGTGCACAAACAACTGAGAGTATAGTTTGGCTGAGATTGTTTCCTTCCTACTTTAGAATCCTTTCGCAGTGTTCATCCATGGCACTGTCACATGCTGTTTTTGTCACTGGCCAGCTCAAATATAAATCCTCAAAGTTTAATTGAGAAGTTGTGACCGATAGAGTTGAGTGAGGGCCCCTGAGATGACAGTAATCGATGGTTAGGAACTCTAAATGACATGGCTCAAAACCGTTTGCTATGGCGCAGATGCATTCATTCTTTGTGCTCTCTGAAATTATAATATTCTGAATTCCTCATCACCTTGCCTTGTTTCAAGTTTATTTTACTAGATTCTAACAATTATCTCTTCGATTGCTGCTAATACTTCTACTAACTCTATTTCTAAGGGGTTTGGATTGATAATTGCGTCTCTGTGCTAATGTGGTATGACAACCTGAACTGGTGTACGTACGTACGAAGTTCTACGGTGTAAATGACTGAGTGAGATAGGCATCACCAATAACTACTGATAATAATCACACTGTACTGTCAAATTTACCATAATCGTTCAAGGTCTTGTGGTTGGTCCCTAGTGGATCCCCATTACCGAGAAGTCCTGAACTTCAGCGAAACAACTGCCAAGTGCCCCTCTGTTTTCAACGGTTCTTCATTCAATCAGTCTGTTACGAAAAATGCCTACAGAGTAAAAGTCTATGTTTGAAGTTTTACTAATTAGTAAGTTAGTGTAAAACAAATTGGCGTCGTAGCATTTATCTTCCTAAAATTTCAGTGTTCAGACTTTTGCTCTAGAATCACGTGAACTTTTAAGCGATATTTCATTTCCTGAGATTTTGAAATTGATCTAAGCATTAAATTTAAACCTGGTTAGGACATTTACAGGCATGGAGATTTCGAGAAGTTAAAAAAAAATGTACTAAAGGATTTAAACTAAAGGCCTATAAATTTTATATCCATTATATTGTCGATTGAAATGCCAACCAAACCTTAATTTCCTCCCTAAACTTTGAGTACTACATTCAATTATTATTTGAGAACGCGTTTGTTTGCACCTAAAGATTTCAGATTTTTACCAAGGTTATTTAGTCCTAGTTCAAACTAACTCAAATTAAACACAGAAAACAGATAAGTTATTGTCCACTTGTGCACTAGGATGATAACTTAAAGATTATTGGTATGAATCTGTCAAAAGGCAAAGATTTCTGAAAATTAAAACTGTTTGTATGTATGGTGATGATATAATACAGGTCGATAAGATATACATAACTCGAAAGAGCATATGAGAATAATACATATTTAACACATTGCTCTTCGCTGATATTCTGCTGTCGCTACAGTATAATCTTCAAGTCGGAAGTAACGATCTTCATTCTGTTTTAGAAATCTATCACATAATAAAAGTAAAAGATAAAAACAAACGTTTATTGATCAATGACAACTAACTAGTGATTGAAATGAACATATGCATATAAATAACCTAACTTGAAATTTAAGTTAACTTTTTAGACATGTCATCAACAAAAATGTTCGCTTAGAATGAACTAGGAGTAAGGGTTTTGACTAAGTTGGGTTTCTGTAAGTAAATTGTATTTATGGCTGTCGTGAAATGTACCTATCTCATCAAGATGAAGCTGTATGACACAGTAGAGGAAATTCATATCATACATCAAATAATTTAGTTTTGAACTGAATACCGCTAAATCAAGAACAGAATGCTTTAGAGTGAAATTGATGTTGCAAAAAGATGACTGCCTTATGGCTTTTTGAAATGAACTTTAACTGACTGTCAACAGCATCTTACTTCCTTGTTTTTGTCATTACTTTTTAGCCGAAATATTAGGTATTATAGAAATTGAGAAACAGTGGCAACACATTTCCCGACTTTCTATAGACCAGTTTCTCTCCCATAAATGTGAAACTGTTAACTACCTGACGAATTGTACTGATACGTACATACTCTGACATGTAGTTTCCTTCAATGACAGTCAATAGTTTTCATACAAATGCTTTTATATAAATCTCGAAAAGCATGCGCTAATTATTATATCACAATAATAATCTGAATAACAGTTTTTAAAACAAATAGATTAGACAGCTGAAAGAGGAAAAGTGGAAACACATACATAAATTTTGTAATAGAAGAAAACCTAGTGACCTAAAAGTTATTACTTACTGCAAGAACTCAGAAACCAATGCTTCTAGAATAGGCAGACTATTTACATCGACTTTGGTACAAGAAACCATATCCCGAAGTTTAACTACAATAAAGGTATATAATCGGAATAAAGTAAAACATATGTAGATTAGAGTGGTTACAAATTGTTAAGCTTATCCACTTACAGGTAACATAGTAAAACAAAATATTAAAATACAATGGTTAAACTTTTATTGAAGCCTACTAGTGATAATCGGTTGGTGTAGTTGTTACTTTTAAACTAACAAACGAAAAAAGAGTACTTCTATCTTGGCAAGCGATGAAAGTTATAATGAAATAATTAAGGGCAACTACGGACGATTAAACAACTAATCAAGTATATTAAGGTCCATCATGAAACTAAAATTCCTATTGTACGCTTATTTCAGATCCTGAGTTCCAAATAGCCTTGCATAAAAATTTTATATAGCGAGGGTGTTACTAGGTTATTATTTATGATAATATTTGATAGCGTTGTTTCGATATGCTATAAAAATATTTTGCACTTAATTATAAACTTGTGTGATTGATTTTATATACCAACTTCCTATATGTATATGACTTGTGATTTTGAAGATGAAGATTAGCTTGATATGAATGGCTTTTATTTATTCAAATTCAGAATAATGACATCATAAACACACACTAAGAGTATTTGTAATTAACTTTGAGAAATCAGTTAACTAAAATACATTCTTTACGTCCTCAGATATTTTTTATCTTTTTTAAAAGACATTTTTATTTATTAACATATAGCATGATAAATAAAAATGCTGTTTAGTTACATATGTAAAAAAGGTAACTTGAAAACCACAAACTGAATTGCAGGACGTACCAAAAAGCCTTAACAAGTGAATTGAACCATAAATATCTGACATTCTTTTATCTGTGTGACGCTTTAAAAGTTCAGCATATTGTAATCGTTCAAATTTGTATAGAAGATGAGAACCAATAATCAGATTAAAGTAATGTTGAATTCCAGCGATAAATTCACGTCTTAAATCAGGTCTTATTGCAGGATTTGTATTATTTTGAGAAGTTTGAGATTCAGAAGTAGGTTCCGATTTCAACTCGGTCGCAGCACTTTCTAAGAAGTCAGACAAAAGAGTGGATATTGGTTGGGAAGCAGGAAGCTCGTAAAGCTGTAAGTTAACCAAATAAGAAAAATAAAATGCGACAACTTTAAACAAGCTTAGTAACAGCTATATGGTAAAGTAACCTTGTCAAAGCACTAAAATAAATCAGTCTCTTCAAATTCAGTCAATGAATAACTGGAAACAGTATGTTAGCTTGGTAAAAGCATTCAACCTAAAAACCAAGCGTAACACTGCTTGTAAGACCAGTGGTTGGCTGCTTCACAGAACTGAAACGACAATGGAATACAAAATAATAGTACTTAGTTTTTCAGTACACAAAATCGTCTGTTTAGAAGTTTGTCATGGAAGTCTTATGTCCACTTACGACACGAAAACGATCAAAGAGCACCAGAACAGTAACCGATAAAGTACTGTTCTGCTAAAAAAACAGGAATAAAACAGGACACGAACAATTTTTATATCATTTATTTGGTTTTTATAAAAGTACTCCATATAAAGAGACTAAAAACGCAGTTTATCACAAGATTACGAGAGCGAACACTAACAGTAACCCAATAATACTAAATACACCAAGGTTTTTGGCATTGAGTTTCAGGTTAGTTTGATGAAATTCTAAATCTTGGGAGGAGTTAAGCAAGTATAATCTAAAAGTTTCAAATCTATATTACACAGAGTACGATCAAGTTTACTCATTTTATACAAGCTTTATTTAACATGTTATCCAATGCTTGTAAATTAGCCACATACCGCTCTTCAAAGGATATAGTACGGATTCTAAATGCTCGCTTGAAATTGCAAAACTTGTGGAGTAAGCGAGACTTCTTTTTGACACTCAGAGGATGCCCAACCGTAGCTGCTACCTTGACGTGGTGGTCGGGCTGTGGTGCGCACTACTTATAAGTAGTATATGACGCGAGTGTAAACGTAATGTCTGGCAGCAGAAGATGGAGGAAGATCAAGAAAGGAAGAGTGGGAACACAATGGAATTCGTATGAAACGCATGAATAGTGAAATGTCTGACAATGGATTGATGATGGATTGAAGATTTGCAAATTAACGGTTACGATATGGTTTTCCTATTTTACTGAGTAACTCTGTAATTTTCGTTAAATACGATTCGGTTGCCCTCACCTGTGTTCACCTTCACTACAGGGCTTGCCTATCGTGATGACCCAACCGAGCTATATTGGCTGGAACTTATGTTCCTGAAGGTTCTACCATGCCAGGTAGGTCGATTGGAAAACGATGAGACTAAAAGCAACTGCCCAAGGTCTAAGGGCAAAGTCGTACTGCTGACTGCAGACGGGTGTGACAGCAGTAAGGTGTTTCCCTCGGACAACCAGCATCTGCAGCGATGCTACCTTCTCACAAGGAAGGAAGGGTTAGAAAAGGTCGAACCTAAAAATGTCACACCTCACCCTAACTCACGGATTTCTGTCTACGGCGGTAAGGGTGCCCACTAAGGGCCTTTAAGAGCGGAGCTAATACTCAAAAATCCTTTCATAAAAAGGCCGTGCGTGATCGGCCTCAAGCAGTTGTCCCTTGGGCTCTGCGGTCACGCACTCAGGTCTCTAAGACCAACACTAATTTATTCAGGTCCCTCAAGAAGCGACCTTCCACGGTTTGGGCAGCCGGGAAGTGACAACCACCCTCATACCCGTAACAGCACACGAGACTAAATTGGCCGAAATCAAATCCTTCCTACACCCACACATACCTCTCTTCTCTCCACAACTAAATCTACTCACATTCCTTTATCTCATTGCACCGCTGTTATTAGGAAACGGGTGATAGGTAAGAATGGCAGATCAATAGATAAAGTAGTGAAACTTCATCAGTTGAGGTGGTTGGGACATGTGCTGCATATGCCTAACCACCGACTGCCTCGAAGAGCTTTGTTTTGTAGTGTAGGAGTAGGTTGGAAGAATGCTAGGGGCGGCCAGACCAAAACATGGCAGAAATCCATGAACCCATTGACGAGTGGACTGAGCCATGTTGGTAGTTGTCGACTACCTGGTTGGGGTCCGTGAGATGATAATAATCGATGGTTAGAGACCTTGAACAATATGGCTCAAAATCGTTTGCAATGGCGCCGGTGCATTTATTCTTTGTGCTCTCTCAACTCCTAATCTTCTGGATTCTTCAACACCTCTAGTTTTGACTTTCCAAACTTTTCTCACTGAATCATACTTCTTGAATAATATCTTCTCATTCTAACCTCTCCGATTACTTCTAATACCCTTACTAACTCTTCTACTATTGGATTTGAATTGACAACTACATTTCTGTGCTGATGTGGTATGGCAACATGAACTGATGTACCTACGTACGAAGTTCTACGTTGCATCTAACTGACTGACTGACTCAGAGGATGCGTACACTACTCGGCAGTCCACTCTGTATTACTCCATAGATGTGAAGCAAAGTCTATGAAAGTAGATTTTTTTACCGTACGTGTCTTCAAAGAATTTCTTACGTATCATGAAACTATCAGTCAGGCAATGATGAGATCACACACAGGTAAAGACAGAAAATAGGTTGATGAGTTTTTGAATCCTTGCCAACTAAAGTAAGAGCAATATGTTTTATGTATGTCCAACCACTACCTCACTTAACAAGTGATGTTGGCTGGGGTAGGAGTAAGTTGAAAAATAGATAAGGGCATTACAATCAAAACGTTTTACTTGCCACTGACTATTGGTCTGAGTCATGCTGATAGGTGCATACTTGGCTAAGATCTGAGTAATAACGATAATGAGTGGTTAGAAACGCTGAGTAGCATGGCTTAGTGGCTCACAGACCTTGAGTCTAAGCATTATTTAATCCTTCCTCTGGAATCGTAATTCTAATATACAGTCTTTTTCACTATCAATTTTACCTCAGATATTTTCATATTTTTGTTAGTTACAGTGTCGACTCCATCTCGTTGTGGTGAATCGACGCGGCAATATAGATTAGTGCATATTTTTTCAGGTCCCACTTCCATTATGACTGCTGATTATGTTTTGCGAATTCCATGACACTAACCAACTGTCAATTTGCATTATGAACAAAAAAACTAGGAATGAATAGATATCTCGCATACACAAGGTTAAGGAATACATCATGAGAGCGAGGTATTCATAATCATCATTTCCTAAATTACTGACCAGCATAACTCTGTTCGTAAAGTACATAAAAGTTATTAGTCCTATAGATGTAACACAATTTAAAGTACAAATATGGCTTCAGATAACCTAGATATGATGTGACAATTGGAAATAAGACGTTATTTAACTAAGTTTCGAATAAACCAATATAGACAAGAGAGCACAAAGTACTTAAATCCAAAAGTGGGCGGATATTTTGTCTTACTAGGCATGATATAACTTATTTTCCCAGTAACTGTTTCGTATCTAAACAATTCGGTTATTTGGAATTCTACCTTATTAGTCTGATTGCTTTGTTATATCGGTCAACTCATTTGGTTCGAAGAAACATTTATATAGTGGGTCAAGAAAAAAGTATTAGAAACAAACACAAAGAGATCAGATAAATATTTCTCATCTTTTGATCCTAAATTTTGAAAATAAACTTGAGTACAACTTCCAAGTAAGGCTTATATATATATATATATATATATATATATATAACTTACACGAGCTTGACGAGTGATTAAGTCCCAATCGTCCACGAGCCATGCTTTTAGAGTTGGAGGTATTGAAACTTGTAGTTGTGGTTTTGAAAGTAAACCATCATCCTAATAAGATAATAAGAATAATGTAAGACAGATATCTGCAAATAACTAAATGAAACATGTCTTTGGACATAACAAGAACCTCCTGAATATAAGGACATTTAGACTTTATTCGGAATCTGATCCGCACTACAAGTGACAGAGACTATTTCACTGTAGATGTAGTGACGGCTAGAAAGATCCTTCTCACTCACAATAGTGAGATTCAGAAATTCAGTCTCAAATCACACTTTATTAGCATATGAATTAGAATTGATATGAGTAAATATTGGGGTTGGTATAAATTCGAAAACTCCGTCAGTAGAACCTTCGGGACCACTGCCGGTCCCAAGCCCGGATAAAGGAGGAGGGTTGGACATGGGGTTGGCGACCCCATTCCGTCAAAAATCAACTTGCCAAAAAAACGCTAACCAGAAAAAATAATTCAAACCCAATTTAACTCTGCCCTGGGAGTTGGAGGAAGAATTATGACGTCTTGTAATGAAAGCTGAGTTCCCTCGGAAGTCACCCGGCCGATGCTTCTTCTGACAACCACATCAACCATTCTTTTAGGTACATGGAACGTTCGTACATTGTGGGAGACTGGAAGACTATTTCAAGTTGCTGCAGAATTGAAAAGATACAACCTCGAGATGCTCGGCATCAGTGAAACACATTGGACACAGGTAGGACAACTGAAACTAGCTTCAAGGGAACTGTTGTTATACTCTGGTCATGAACAGGAAAATGCTTCACATACACAGAGATTTGCACTGATGCTGTCCAAACACGCACAAAAGGCACTGATAGGATGGGAATCTCATGGACCCAGGATCATTAAAGCATCCTTCAAAACAAAGAAACGGGACATCACAATGAACGTCATCCAATGTTATGCACCTACCAATGACTACAATGACGACGTTAAAGATCAATTCTACGAAAGGCTGCAGTCAATCGTCGAGAAATGTTCACCAAAGGATTTGCCGATTCTTATGGGAGACCTGAATGCCAAGGTTGGAATGGACAACACTGGATATGAAGACATCATGGGACGACATGGACTGGGAGAAAGGAACAAAAATGGTGAGAGATTTGCAAACCTATGTGCTTTCAACAAACTGGTCATCGGTGGCACAATGTTCCCGCAAAAACGCATACACAAAGCCACATGGATTTCATCGGACCACACTAATCAAAACCAAATTGACCATATCTGTATCAACAAAACGTTCAGAAGGACTATGGAGGATGTGAGAACCAAGAGAGGTGCCGATATAGCATCAGATCACCACTTGCTGATCGCCAAAATGAAACTGAAACTAAAGAAGCACTGGACAACGGTGCAGACAACATCACACAAGTTTAATACAGCCTTTCTTCGGGATACCGTAAAACTCAACGAATTCAAGATAGCCCTCACCAATAGGTTCCAGGCCTTTCAGGATCTACTCAATGGAGAGGAAGCAACATTGGAGAACAATTGGAAAAGGATTAAGGAGGCAATCACTTCAACATGTCACGAACTTCTGGGTCACAAGAAGTACCATCACAAGGAATGGATCTCTGTTGATACTCTCGCAAAAATTGAAGAAAGGAGGAACAAGAAGGCAGCAATCAATGTCAGCCGAACAAGAGCAAAGAAAGTTACCGCACAAGCTGCATACACATACAGGGAAGTGAAGAAGAGCATCAAAGCTGACAAACGAAAATATGTAGAAGATCTAGCAATGACGGCGGAAAAGGCTGCAAGAGACGGAAACTTGAGACAACTGTACGAAACAACAAAGAAGCTCGCCGGAAACTATCGTAAACCAGAACGACCAGTGAAAAGCAAGGAAGGCAAAGTAATCAATAATACTGAAGAACAGCGAAGTAGGTGGGTAGAGCACTTCAAGGAACTATTGAATCGACCAGCTCCACTGAACCCACCCAACATTGAAGCAGCATCCACGGATCTCCCAATTAATATTGGCGCACCTACAATCGAGGAGATCAGCATGGCCATCAGACAAATCAAGAGTGGCAAAGCAGCAGGACCAGACAACATTCCAGCAGAGGCAATGAAAGCAGACGTGGAAGCAACTGCGAAAATATTTCACATCATCTTCAAGAAGATTTGGGATGAGGAACAAGTACCATCAGATTGGAAAGAAGGATACCTCATCAAAATACCAAAGAAAGGCGATCTCAGCAAGTGTGAGAACTATATAGGCATCACTCTTCTCTCAATACCAGGCAGTCTTCAACAGAGTATTGTTAAACAGAATGAAGGACTTCGTAGACGCCCAACTTCGAGATCAACAGGCCGGATTTCGTAAGGATCGATCGTGTACTGACCAAATTGCTACATTACGGATCATTGTGGAACAATCAATTGAATGGAACTCACCACTCTACATCAACTTCATCGACTACGAGAAGGCATTCGATAGCGTGGACAGGAAAACACTATAGAGGCCTCTTCGACACTACGGTACCTGAGAAGATAGTTAACATCATACGGAATTCTTACGATGGATTCAACTGCAAAATCGTGCACGAAGGACAGCTAACAGACGCGTTTGAGGTGAAGACCGGTGTCAGGCAAGGTTGCTTACTCTCACCCTTTCTCTTTCTCCTGGTCATCGACTGGATTATGAAGACGTCAACATCTGGAGGGAAGCACGGTATCAACTGGACAGTTAGGACGCAGCTGGACGATCTGGACTTCGCAGATGACCTGGCTCTTCTAACGCACACTCAACAACAAATGCAAGAGAAGACGACCAGTGTAGCAGCAGCCTCTGCAGCAGTAGGTCTCAACATACAGAAATGTAAAAGTGAAATTCTCCTATGCAGCACAACATGCCTCAACGAAATCACTCTTGATCGAGATGCCTTGGAGGACGTTAACACCTTCACATATCTGGGCAGCATCATCGACGATAAAGGTGGATCGGATGCAGATGTGAGGGCGCGGATCGGCAAAGCAAGGGCTGCATTTCTACAGTTGAATAATATCTGGAACTCCAAACAACTGTCAACCAAAACCAAAATCAGGATTTTCAATACAAATGTGAAGACAGTTTTACTGTATGGAGCGGAAACATGGAGAACTACCAAAGCCATCATCCAGAGGATACAAGTGTTTATTAACAGCTGTTTACGCAAAATTCTTCGTATTCGTTGGCCAGACACCATCAGCAACAACGTACTGTGGGAGAGAACAAACCAGATTCCAGTGGAAAAGGAAATCAGGAAGAAGCGGTGGAAGTGGATAGGACACACTTTGCGGAAAGCACCTAACTGCGTCACGAGACAAGCCCTCACATGGAACCATCAAGGCGAAAGAAAAAGAGGAAGGCCAAGTATTACATTACGCCGAGAAATAGAGAAAGATATGAGAGGAATGAACAAACATTGGACAGAACTGGAAAGGGAAGCCCAGGACAGAGTTGGTTGGAGGAAACTGTTGGGCGGCCTATGCTCAATTGGGGGTAATAGGCGTAAGTAAGCAAGTAAATTCGAAACGTACGGTGTCAGGTAGCATTCTGAACAATAGAAATAAGTATAAGCTATTGTACTAAACAATACGTAAATAGAATGAACGACAAACCACACGACTGGGTCGTCATAAAAAACCCAAAAAGTTGATAACTTCGATAACAAGCAAATTACCTGAACTTACATTTTCAACAGATTTTATTCCTGATGTTGCCCGACTTTTTCGCCTTCTTGACACTGTAGTTGTGGTCGTGGATGTCCCGTTAGATTCTTCGACAGGTTTTATGGGTGGCTTGATATCCTCGCTCTCCTTTATCTCGGTTGGCAAGGGTGTACTTGGTTTTCGGTCTGTTTCGTTATTAACTTTAGACTGTTTTGCTTTAGGACTGTCTTCTTCTATAAATATAGATAGTGAAAAAACTCAGAGTGTAACCTTGTTTTGTTTGACCAGGCTTCAAAGTCCTCTCCACATCTTTTAAAACTTCCGGGGGTGGTAAAGACTGTGATTTAAGGTCAGATTTTCTTAAGACTTTAACTTTTCCAGACTTTCTAGAAATCATAGTAACGTTAAGTAGAGAAAACATAAATTTACATTTGCCGTTCCAACTCCTTCTGTTTCCTTAAACCTTCTTCATTATACTTGAACATACGCTTATCAGTTACCCATTCATCCCAACTATTAAGGAAGAATAATTTTAGATACATTTTTACTTTTTATTCCAACCTTGATAATGTACGAAATACATTACTCCATCTTCTTTCACTCTGACATCTAGACACTTGGCTTCATACATTAGGGGCCCATGAAAGCAAAGAAGCTTTTCACCTGATTAGATGAATAAGAATATATTGAAAAGGAAAACCAGACCTGGTTCATACTTTGGTTTCAAATCGACACTTGACATAGTAACGCGGTAGTTAAAATCAGCGGTAACCAGTGTTTAATAATTTCACGACTTGCTGGGGCAAATTATTCGCTTTTTCCGCCCTCTGACTAATTATCAGGTAACTAGGAATACCGTTATCATAGTCTCTACTCACTAGATAAAAATTATCTTTTGGCGGTAAACTTTCAATTCACTGGACTGCGCATTATCTAATTATGGAAGTAATGCTAACGAATTAAATGCGATAGGGTAGTCCTTTTGTTCCAGTTGAATGATGAAACTATATCGAAGACATTTTAACAGAAGCTACTTGCATTTTATGAAGCTTCAAGAAAAGTCATTGGATTATGGCGAAAAAAGTCTTGCTTAGGACTCTAACTCCATGTGGAGCAAAGGCTACCGACCAGTATTCTCCAACCTCCTCTGCCCCAGGCTCTCCTTCCTGTTTCTGCCCCATCGCTATCCATTTTCGTCTTCTGTCATGGTTGTTCTTCATGATTTTTTATTTGAAAGACAAGAAAAATTAGGCATTTTAGGATTCTATTTTATCAATAATTATCAGGAAAATTGGGCTTTACTTGATTCTAATCCTTCTGTTTAACAAAATAAACGAGTTTAGTTTAGCACAAACGAGCACTGTAAGTGAATTTAAACAGGTTTTCTAATCGACATGACTAAAGTCTCCACATTTTGACAACAGGATTCTATGACGTTTGACAGCTTTCAAACGACAATATGCACGTCTTTCAAAGTTTCCGTTGTCTATGTCCCCTGTCACTTTATGTCTAAACGAAGGCTAGCTCTGTTATAATCGCCGTTTATGCCTTGCTGACCAGTTTGCACTATATGTACAAAAAATTTTTCGGAGATCTTCACATTCTTGACAATTCAGATCAGTTCTGCAGGTCATTTTGAGGCTTTAAACTTTTATTTAAGGTATATCTGTATTTCTAACATTTTTTCCAGCTTCAGCTGACACGTCAATGTGTTAACCCACATAAAAACCATAAACTAGAACTGAACGCTTACTGTCACCTAGGAAGCGATATGAACCTAAGCCCTTTAAATGTAAATAGATATTTGCAGAAACGTTTCACTAGAAGACATAAATCTTCAAGTGCTGACCCCTAATTATACAACATAATAGAATTTTCTTATGAAAGACCATTTGCTTACAAAACAACCGTATTCAGAGTGACTGCTCCAGTCACTAAATTAGATTGAATTAATCGGCAGCTATGCTGAATCATCCGTACTTTGCAGTTTCAGTCAAGCCTTATGAACATAATCGTTAGACCTGAGTTTCTGCTATCTCATAATCAATGGCAATCTATAAAAGCTTTCCTAAAGTATATCACATCCGTTTAGCTAACCATTAGAACTACATCTCTAATTAAGTTTACTGATGAGTTCTGTGGTAAATGCCACTCTAAAATCGATAATATTGTGTAACCTTACAAAAAAACATCCATAACGAATCTTAATTCACAGTCAAACATTTTATAAATGACTGAACAATACCAGAGTAGTAATAATAATATATAATAATATTTTGTAGCAAGGTATTCTAGCTAAAAGTCTAGACATGCGTCAGAATGGACTAACTTAAAATTGAGATTATAATTGTCACATGCTTGGTTAATCTGTAAAATAGGACTGAATTTTATGTAACAACCTCTCGAATAGAGCGAAGGACTTTTTAACAATGAATTATGAAGGAAAAATTTTTGAAAGGCTGAAGAATTAACAGTAAGCAAAACTGTCAGACAAAGGCGAGAACCATCGATTCCACGAAAAGAAACACGATCACATTTACCTAACATACGTGACGTTGTAGCCATATAAGTATATAAAATTACAATTTCCTAAAACCCATTGGTAGCTTCATAGTTGCAAGTATAAGTTATCTATGCATCCTATCGCTTTTCAAATAATAATGAATTTTCTATCCAAAAAAGACATATAAGAACAATGAATTACACGCAAAAATGATGTTGGACTTCACCTGAATCGCCAGCGGGTTGTTTTGGTCTTCCAGTTCACAATTACAGTAAGTAACCAATACTTACAAATAGGATATATATGATTCTAGACAATGCTTATCAAGAAAAATTTAATAATAATAATAATAGATCCAGATAACTCTTGTATTGGAAATATATTCGTGGGACAGCTAAGTGAGAAAAAGAGTATTGCGTGCAGCAGTGTATTTTTGAGAGCTGTAATTGATATAGCAAGCAAGTAAGAACAAAAAAATGGCAGTAAAACAGTACATAGAGACGGGTTCACGTTGAGTGTGAGACAACAACAGGGAGGCAGGTATAAACGAATTAACCTGACAGTTGAACTCAATGGACAACCGCCAGCACAAGACAAGAAGATAATTGTCTCGCCGACTGAAGGCATTGTTTAGGCAAAAAAGCTGCAGAGTCCTGTTCCGACAGAACTGGCCAACAGTGGCTGTCTTTGCACAGGTGCATCGGGTGATGAGATAAACCACCAAGTGCCTCCATAGCAACGTGAGAGGACTAAGGAGTAAGCTGTTAGAAATCAGGAATATGTACTCTCGGATGGATCTGAAGATCAGATTCCTAACTGGAACAAGACTATCCCCTAACACTACGGACGACGAAGTAAGCTTGCATGGCCTGACACGCGATAGGATAATACAGACACGAGGTGGAGTGGCTACATATAAAAACATCCGGGCGGCTGCACGAAACCCAACTAACTGACCTGACAGTATCATGCTGATGTCGTTTTCACAAAATAGGCACGAAATACTTGATTGGAGGGATTTACTAACCATCCTAATACTAGGGATCAGAAAGATAAACTGACTGAGGCAATACTGCGACTGCCACTCCTTGAGTTTGATCAAATACTCTTAGCTAGAGATTTCAACACCTCGTCTCTAAATCTCAGCAATCAGTGTACAACTCTCACCGGTTGGTTCCAAGGACGACTTGGCGAAGCCATTAGCAGCTCTAGACTTACTGAACATGTATGCAGTGCCACTATATGGACTAGGGAGGGAAAATCCTCAAACCTGGATTGTTTGTCAATGAGTGACACGCCAACCATCCCCACATGTGCATCCTACCGATGCATCACTACCACTCCCGTCGAGCAAATCCTCGAAAAATTGCACATCAAAGAGCGAATACTCAGGTTCGTGCTCACTTTTTCTCATTGAAAGCCGTCACAACTTGGAATGCTCTCCCAGCTGACATGACCACAGCCCCTTCAGTCAATAGTTTCAGGGAGAGACCTGATAAACAGATGTCCACATGCGGATTATCCTCACCTGCGTGAATCAGCTGTGCCTGATTCGTGTCGTGAGACCTGACAGTTGTTATTATTGTCATCTCCTCAATTAGCTAACTTAATGTATCTCGTTATTATCTCTGTTTCCTCTCTCTTCCTTACACTTTGGTACTCTCGCATGATCTTCAACATCATTTACTAAACTAAATTATCTATGTATTTACTTAGTTCTGAAATCTTCTTAATAGTATTAGAATATTCTCCTTATTATTCTCCACATTGCAACTAACTGATCTTCGGCCTGGTAATGCGATAGCTTCCAGTATCCAGAAACCCTACTTTCTTGAAGCAAATCTAGTCATTCAAATCACTGGACATACAAACTAACAAACAAGCACCAAGTGACTAGAATTATGCAGTTGAGTGTCTAGGCCACTATCAACTGGACACTACCAAATACCTGGAACCGTACCGAAAGAACAAGAGATCAACTGGTTTATACTGACTCGTGAAAAGAACGTCGGATATTGGATATTAAATTATGTTATGCAAATCGTATGTTCGTTTAGCCAAGGCAAATGTGTGAACTTATCAGGCGAGCATAATTTGTATCTCGTCTGTTATCGTCGTTACATTCGTTGCTCAGATGCAGCGAAAACTAGAACAACTACCTGGACTTAGTAATGTGACTGGAAAGTATACAAAAAAGTGTACAGACGAGCCATACCCTCGTTTGTTTGTACACAGTACGAGTGAAAGTAAGAATGATCTTACAAACCAAATCAATAAAGTCAAATCAGAAAGCACGGTAGCTCATAATTCTGATGCAGCATCTGCTGTATGGCATTTGAATGCAACGAAGCTTTCAACTGTGCAATCTCGATCAGACTCTGCCAATAGCTCTAATTACATACCAATGACTCACAAAGGTCCGAACACTCATGTCTCCAAGCCTCAGTATGTTGCCTCAAACTCTACATTAGCACACCAATCTCTGTTGACTGGTGGACCACATATGTCCTCGGGAAGCAAGAATAAGTCTCAAAAATCAAGTATTCCCATTAAACCGCAAGTCATGCAACGCTCCAAGAAATGTATGAATGAAGTTGTGAAGTCGTCATCATCAGGAAGTGTATCTGCACTTCAATCTAAACCTACAGGTGTGATAATAGCTACCCCGTGTTCCCCACAAGTGAATGAGCAGGGTCTCACTCGGTCATTTGACAGTTTTTCTGTGGGTGGGAGAGTAGCTTCATCCAACTCGTTTTCTGGAAGCGAAGAAACATTCCACGCAGGTTCTGAAAGGGCATCATTTTCAGATGGAAAGGATCTTAGTCAAAGACTGTTTCATGCTCCCTACAATTTGCCAGGTTATTCTTATGAAATAGAGGATGGGATTCATTTCACAAGAGAGCATCCATGTGACCGATCGTCCAATACCCAGCCGCCATGTTTGTCAAATGTTACGAAAAACTCACTTGGAGCCGCTAACACCCAATATTGCAGAGCGAGAATGTCAAACGATCAGGCCGCCTATAAGTCAGGTGATGAACAGGCATGCAATAGGTCAGGTCAGAAAAACATCTTGGATAGTGGGCCAGGTCCTTCACCTATGCATATCGGCAACGAATCATCATTTCAATCCACGGAGTACCATATTTCTCACTTTGGTCACCAGTCAAAACACGATACCAATGAAGTAAACATAAAACCGGCAACACATCTTTATGGTCTGCAACCGAGGCACGCTTCATGGAATGTTGGTAAGCGTGTACAAATGAGTTATATTAAATTCATGTAACTCGAGTCTTTTCAAGAATGAACTCTTTCACTAATAGTAAATGTAACATACTTGTCACCAATCTTTATTTTCATAGTCATAATCAGAATGTTAATCCATCATCGTAAATATATAGCTCCTAACTTTTTAAACTACACAGAAAGAAAATTTCTGTTCAAAACAAGTATTTTGTAGTTAATTTTTTTGACCATGTCCACCGAATAATCTTATATTTAGATGATTTAACAACTTAACCGGAAGACACTCATGTAGGTTTTGCTTATAGTGTTGCTGAATAATCGCTTTTTTGTTTAATTTATACACCTTTGAATTTTTCACACTAAAATGCATTAATTTATTTCGGCATTACGTCTTGAACACTCGGTATTACATACCTTTAATGCCCATTTGTCAGAAATTATAAACGAACCTTAGTGCTTAATCATCATGAGACAAAGTTTTGATAAATAATTCGCATCTCTATGCTTCGGAAACTATTAACAATAGAGCTTAGGTAGATTATGTGGCTTGTTGAGCTCGCTTCTGGTTCAGGCATTTTTATATATTAAGCGACAGGTATAATTGTTTTTTTTCAAATCCAAAGTTGAGACCAACAATATATCCTGAGGACAGAAGATAAAAACCATTAATATATTTTTTCCTACCAAAGCCTTAACATAGACCTATCAGTCACCACAATTAATATAGTTGGTGACCCCACACCTCTCTTATCTTTAAAAATTTCAATAGTTGTTTTTTTTAAACTAAAAACCCTGATATGTTTTATTAGGTTACTCTAATACAGGTGGAATATCGGATTCTGGAATGCCAGGCTCACAATGCACACAAAGCGCTCTGGAACACTATTTGTCAGACTTAGTAGCAGATGAGCAGAGAATGATGGCGAATAGTCCTTGTACAGACTTTACCCATGGTTACTGTGAAACACCCTCTGGTTATGTCAGTCAGTCAGTTTCTCCAAAATCTGGTGAGACTGAGAAGAAAATATGTTCTACAGATTTGTTACAGTTTCTGGAGCAACGTATTGAAAATGCCTTACGGAGTATGACATCTATAGGTATGTCTGAAATGTAATTATCTCTTATCTAGAACTAATGCAGATCAATTTTTCCTAAGAAAGTGATAAAGAGTTGATTCCTCTAGATTTTTCTGGTGTCTAATTTTTTTTAGAATTTCCCTCGACGATTCCAGTTGAAGTGAACTGTGTTTATCTGTTTTTCCTACTTCGAGAAATCTTGTATACAGTTTCCTATTTCATATACTCACTTCAGTTCATTTTAAGTTAGTTTTCAAGTCTTTCAGGAAGTTTTATGTGAGCAAATTATCACGCTAAACCCAAAAATAATATAAATTGATACTTGAATCGAGTCACCAATCGATTCCCTACTTTCTATATGCTTTGTAGGAAGCTGCAATTTTTAAGCACTAACACGAGTTTATCATCCAAACATGAAAAACAAATTTCCACTTTTACCGAATCAACATTTTTTAGTCTATTTTCCCAGTTAAAGTGTAACTGTTTCTATGCTTTGTCATAAATCATTTGACTGCCCAAATATAAACTGGAGCATTTTTTTATGTTGTAAAAGAAGTGATCTTTATGATCGAAATGAAAACCGACTTAGAGAACTCACTTGGCTTGGGTTAACTGAAAGCAAAATTATTACTTAGCTTAAATTTATCGGTAATAATGTGGTTATTGTAATGAAAATTAATTAATAGCCTTATCTTCAATTTCTTATTCAGAAGAAGCATGTACTCGGCATTTTTAAGATCAATGGCTAATACTCGTATTACTTTGAGATCATACAAACTGCGACATGCTTAAAAGGTTCTTATGACATTCTTTTGAACAGGTAATGGTAAATAATATGTACCTATTTCCTCTAAATGTTCACAAATGACTAAAGTTTTCGAACCCTCAAATATTAATTTTGTTTTTATGTTTTGAATTATTAGACTCAAAACAGAACCCTTACAATAGTACTCCAAATCGAATACGCCCAAACAGGAGTGCTTCTCTAAATCCAGTTTGTGAACCCCGAATAAAAAGTATTGAATCACCATCAGTGGCTGGAAACTTTTTTCAGCACCAGTTGGCCTTCGAAAATAATGATACACAACATATTTATTCCTACGAAAACTCTGCTAAACCTCAAAATAAACAACACATTAGTTCTTATTCAGATGAACATTCGGGCCAAACACACGCAGAAAGAAATATGCTCCAACAATTTAATTTTTATGAGGTTAGCGTTCAAATTTGAATGCAATGTGCGTTTTGTAAAGCATTAGTATCTAGGTCCAAAGTAAAATAACTGAGTAAATGAGTCCGATATTGTTTATGGTGTTTTAATCTTCAGATTATCTATCATTGTTTCAAAACAAATACGACAGTTCGGCTTACAAGTATGTGTTTAGTCTAAATGTGTTGTGAGTATAATGCGCTAAATTTTATGTACAATATCCGAAAATACTGGGTATGGCTTACCATCAGATGCCTAATTCGTACTACTGTCGGCCTCTGAAATCACTTTTCTTATGAGTAAAGAGGCCAAATAACCATCTTAGTCGTTTAAATGTCTAAAATATTTTACGTGGTATATTTATATGTTTTCATACCATTTTCTACAATAGAGATGAACAGTAATTGTTGAAAGCAAGAAATTCAGAATTACAGTGCCGTTTCGTATATTTTCTAATTTCGGGCAAGCATAAGGATAGGACACCTAGTTCACAGTGACGCTTGAACTAAAAAATGACAGTCTAATTTACTGAAACTCTTCAGAGCACTAAGTCATGTTACTACTTGTTTCGTTTCTGGAAGCTAAGGAGTGTGAACGATCAAAAGTACCTCAAGTTAACTAAGAATGATCTAATTTAGTTCCGATTTTTCAAAATCAATATATAATATTTGTGCATTCATTAGTTTTTAAGTCTTTGTTCCATACTTTCTGAAAGGCTTTGCAAGTTTTTCGTTTTTCATTTCAGAAACTATTTTTTTAGAAATGTAGTGAGATATATTAAAGGTTCAGTAATATTCATTGTCAGTGATTATTTTCCTCTAAACTTAAAGTTTAACTCACAGTTAGTGAGTGTACGTACTTTATAATTAGAAGTTTGAGAGATGAAAATTATGTGGTTATTCAAGTAGTTTTTTTTGAGGAAGTAGTTTAATGGTAGAAAACGCGATTTAGAGTTTTATCTTCAATAATTAGAGGTGTTGACCTGTAAAGACAACTTGCCTGTGGTCATTTCTGGAAACAAATAGAAGTTATGGCTAAAGAGATTTGAATTAATAACTGACTGTGAACATTCGCAAAAGGACAAACGTCCGTAATTTTCCCAAATGTTTTAGCAAGAAATCATACTGTGGGCTACATGAATACATATCATTACTGTAAAACAGACCTATAGCCAGAAACAGCCACTAATTTAAACGAGAAATATAAGGATAAATGTCGATAATCCCTCGCGATATGCCCCCACAAAACGCTTATCACATAATCATTAGGTGAGCATGACAAAAATAACTGTAATTTGAACTGCAGCATACAAACTCCTTGTTTTCGTCAGTGTAGATATTTCACTAAATGTTCGGTTACTTCAGTTGTTCGTCGGGTAGTGACTTCTCAAGTGAACAAGGGATGTCTAAGCCTTAAATTATTTATAATTTCAGGATGGAATTTCCATTGACCCATTGACCCTTGCATCTATTTTGTTTTACCCCTCTTGTCATTGTATTTTGGATTTGCAGCATGTTATTGTCAAATCATAAACGTGGTGAAATGGTCTTCATTTTATTCAGATCACAAATATTGATAAACATGACTCAGAAACCTAATAAAAGTTTGATTACTAAACAGAAAACTGCGAATGCCATGATAAAAATAATAGTGCTATATGTACAAACATAATAATTAACTACCACTACTACTACTACCGAGCCAAAGTCTCCTCTTTAGTTGATAGGTTGTTAAATCATTAAGTAAATAAATCTTTTACTTTACTAATGTGTGAAAGTAAGTAGCGTTGTTTCCTGTTTTAATTTGACCGATATAAAACTTAGTTGTGATTCAGCTTTGCGACTATAAAATGTTTATACAGATTGTATTTTCCAGGCCCAAATGTTTAAATTTCCGGCAAATTTTACATTCGGAGCGTTTGTATGAGCAGAAATTTTCACATTTTTCTCCCGTCTAAAACCTAAGAATTCATATTTTTCAATAAAATATGTTTTCTTTTAGCTGCAGTATCTTCTCAAGGCTGTCAAAGACTTATTAGTGTTACGCACTTCTTGTGCCCATACAAATGCTTCATCGGGACAAGATGGATCGAAAATTGCTGAACAAGATAAACCAAAGAAGTATGGTAAAAGTGAACGAGTTGATACATGTGCGGTGTCGAATGGAGATGACCGTAGCATGTGTGGGAGAACTGGTACAGAGTCACCATACATAGCTAGATCATTATCAAGCAGTCGTAGCAGCAGTGCTGTGAGGAATAATCGCTTTGAAACATCAGAGTCTCGTGGTAACCGAGTGAGTTCTGGAATGTCTGAAGATGGAAGCCATTCAAATGCTGATTTAATGCATCAGCGTTTACCCATAGGTTTTCAACATTTTGAGCGGTATCTGGATAGTAAGTTTGGCCCAGATCACCCAACTAACAACGCTTCCACATGCAGTTCAGATGTTCAATCAAAACCTGAGTCATGTGTAAAAGTAGTACAAACAAGTTCAGAACATTCTCCTTCAGTGTTATCCGGAAATTCATCTGACCACAATTCACATTTATTAGCCAAACAAAAGTCACACAGTTCCATTCCAATGCACACAGGAACTACTTATACAAATATTACTGCCACTAACAAAGCTGAAGAAATTGTCGATCGTTCTTCTTCAGAATCTGTTTCTCAATACCCTAGTAATTTAAACGAAGGTCCTCATCCGGTGTATGCAAATTCAAGGCCTGGTAAGAAATGGTTACCCATTTATTTCACTTGTTTCTAATCCACGAGTACAGTTTACCAGACAGTTAATATAAATAGTGAGTTTTCGAAGTTTGTTCAGACTATGTTAGTAATTTTAAACCAAAAGCTTTCTCGTGGATTTTTAGTACAAATCAAAATTGGTGGGGATTCAAAAGATAGTTTTGTATTGTTTGGTTTAATTTCATTAATATTGAGGAAATTAATCACTAACTGTGAGGTTAACTGCAAAGGATGACAGCTACAGCTACTCAAAATAATGATGACTTTATGAGTAGAATAATGTGCTACACAATATTTATCAGCCTATATTGGCTTGTCGCTAAAATACTGCTGATCGTTAAGTGGTTGTGAAAGAACACATATTGAAATACTGATAAATTTTAGAAAATTTCTCTCCTAGCGTTTTCGGATTATAGCTTGTTGACAGAGGCGGGAAATGTATTAAGTTTTCAGCTTTTATCTCTAAAAATATGATTGTATCCAGTTATATTCTGTTTGCTAACCTTCCTTATAAGTTTATGAAAGCACCAGGAAAATCACTCCTGGATATAAAGATGTGAGACTGTTGAACCCATATCATAAGATTGGGCTTTATTCAATCAAAAATAAAATTATCCTATTTTCGCTTAATAACAAAAATAGTTTAAATAGTAGTTCTGTTTTATGAAAAATAAAATTTAAAAGGACACAAGTCAGTCAGTCAGTTACGGGGTTAAACTTTGTACGTACGTACATAAGTTCAAGTTGCCATACCACCTCAGCACAGAGATGCAATTATCGATTCAAATCCCATAGTAGTAGAGGTAGTGGGAGTATTAGCAGTAATCAGAGAGATTAGGGTTCTAACACATTATTTAAGAATCCAGAGGACTAGCATTTGAGAGAGAACAAATAGTGGATGCACCTGCGCCTTTGCTAACGGTTTTGAACCATGTCATTCAAGGCCTCTAACCATCAGTTACTATCGTTTCGCGGGCCCAACCAGGTAGTCTACACTTACCAACATGACTCAATTCAGTTGTCAGGGACTTCATGGAATTGTTTTTTGGTTTGTTTGTTTTGGTTTTACCACCCCTAGCTTTATTCCAACCTACTACTACACAGCAAAATACCGCTCTTCGTGGAAGTCGGTGGTTGGGCATACGTAACACATGTTTCAATCACTTCAGCTGAAAAAATTCAGCACTGCATAAATTGATTTGCCATCCTCAGCTAGTAATCGTTTCCTAGAGACAGTATTGCTTCCTTGGTTTTCTTAAGATTAGCAAGCGATGCTTTGGAGAAATCTGCAATCGAATCCTAATAACCTACAAATATCTTCAACTCTTACCGGCCATGTTTCGCATCCATATAGTAGGATGGAGTGAACTGCTGCACAGGAGACTCGTCCTTTGTTTAGCAGACGGATATCTCGCCAACGGCTTAGACGACGCAAGTTGACAAAAGCCAATCGAGCCTTCTGTATCCTCCATGAGATTTAGTTAAACAACAGCTCATTAGCACTGATAAGACTCCCAAGATAAGTGTAGCGGTCCACAAGCACAACTGTTTCACTCTCTATCACTAGTTCAGGTGCCGATGAAAGCTAATTGTGAAGCAACATTTCGCATTTCGAAGGTTAATACTGGATCCCGAGCGAATCTCTTGGTAGAAAGCCCCTCCTGAGAAGTCAGACGAAGATAATGTTATCTCTTATGACAGTTCGCCATAAGCTTTCAATCGGCCAGTGGTGCTCCAGTAAAGAACCTCTCTGGGACACCTTCCAATGACAGACACTGCCATAGAACCTCACGATCAACAAAGTCGAATGCAGCCTTAAGGTCGAGAAATACAACCATTGTGGGACGTATGAACAAGTGTCGATGTTCCAGAACCTGATGTAGTATGAAAATGTGGTCTACACATCCACGTACAGGTCGAAAACCAGCCCGATTTTCTATAGTCTGCTCTTCACGAGCTCTAGCTAGTTGTGTTGATTAAATTGATTCCTCTGTGATTGTCACAAGAGGACTTTTGTCATTGCTTATAAATTGAGACAATAACAGATTAAGACCAGTTGGATGGGATTACGTCCAGTTCCCGAATTCTACCGAAGATCTCACCAAAACCATCCTTAAAAATCTCAGGATTTAACCCATCAGGACTTGCTGCTCTCCCTCAGTTTAGATTTTCTATAGCTTTCTAAACTTTAAACAGAGTCGGTTGACTGAAGATTGTGGGACACCGAAGTTTGGCTGAAGGCCAGATGAACTGATCCCTAAAGTGTTCTACTCATCAATCCTATCTCTTGGACTGAGAATGAATAATGGTCCCATCTGTTTCCGAGATAGTTTCACTCACAGTCGGATTCCTAATACCGATTTCCTTGATAAGTTGAATAGTCGTTTACTGTTACCTATCGCCGCTGCCTTTTTCATCTCCCTCGCTTTCTCTACCCACCACTCTCTGCGATTATTGCGTAGACTTTTTACCAGCCTGTGCTTAAGCTAACTACGCTACTCATTGCACTGAAGCCAGATGGAATGAGTTTCCGAGCGTTTATCAGTTCAGTAAGTGCTACTGGAATCCACTGCTTCTCCATAACCTTATGATTTACCTCACTAGCAAATATGTCTTACGTTTCCATAGCTTTGTGAATATCATTCCAAGCTGCCTCATGGTGTGCATCACTTACATGGCTGCCTAGCTGTGTGTATAGTTGTTCCTGAAATGTATTCTTGGCTATTCTATCATTAAGTAGGACCCTAAGAGGTTTCCTTGCTGTGTCTTTCCTATGTGCAGTAGGACGCGAAAACATACGTGCTCGCACTAAAGCATGGTCTGGATCTAAACAAGTGCTTCAGAATGAGTGTCAGCCTTCAATAGAGCCTATCCATCGATGGTTGATAGCAATGTGGTCTATTTGGGTCCATCGTTGAGTCGGCTTCAGGGGTCTCCAGGTCAAGAGATGTTTTTTCTTATGCTTAAAGTTAGTGTTTGCTAGAAATAGGCGGTTATCTGAGCACAGCTGGAACAGATGGTCGCCATTATCTGATCTTTGAGACACGACAGCATAAGAGTCACCCAGGTTCTTTTCCTTTTCACTTAGTCTATTTACTTGAGCATTGAAGTCACGAGCCATTATTACTTAATTAGATCGTTTAACAGTTTGAAGAAGGTTAGATAGGTTTCCGTAAAACTCATGTTTTATCTCGTCCGAGCTACAGTCAGTGGGAGCGTAGACAGAGATAACCAAGAGGCAACGGCGAGTCTCTCCATCTTTACGAGTCCTTACTATTCCGTTTAGTCGGACAGAGCACAGACGACTGTCTACCGGGATCCAGTCTGAGAGGGCTAGTTCTGCCTTAGGCCTCAGTACTATGCCTACACCAGCGAGGCCACGGAAAGTAGCAGCAGGGCTTCCGGATACATGAAACGTAAACCTAGTTGATTCTCTAACTGGATAAGATGAAATTAAATTAATGATTTTACTAGGATCCCGTAAACACGTTTCGGAGGCGCAACACACATCGATGGCATAGGATTCCAAAGTCCTAGCTACTGAAGTCTGTTGACATATCTGGCACAAGATTCAAACATTAAAAGCTCTAACATGTAGTTTAGAGAAACTAGGCCTCGTGGGCTCAAAATGTTTGCATCAGTGGCGCGAGGTGACGAAGGAACGGAAGAAGGGTTGGCCGTGGAGATAAGAGAGTAGGAAGGATTCGGTCATGACTGGTTTCGTCCCATGTGTTTTACGGGTATGAGAGAGGTTGTCACTTCCTGGATGCCCACATTGTGGAAGGGTTCTTCTTGAGGAACCTGGAAGGGAAATCTTGTTAGGGTTGGTCCGAGTGACCTGGGAGCATGATAACAGAGCCTACGCGTCAAATGCTTAAGGCTGGTCATGTACTGCTTTCTTTATTGGAAGATTTGAAGTGCTGGCTTTGCTTTTCAAGTGGCCTTACCACCAGAGACGAAAATCCTTTAGGTAAGGTGAGGTGTGACATTTTTAGGGTCTACCTTTTCTAACCCCTTGTTTCCTTGTGAGAAGGCAGAATCGCTGCAGATGCTGTTTGTCCGAGGGAAACACCTTACTAAATGTAGTTATCATTTTTGTATGAAGTTAACCAGTCATGCCATAGATAGCTTGTTGATGATAGGCTGCACAAACTAAGCTAAAATTAAGTTATGTGTTACTTGTGGGATATTATTGCCACGCAAAGTATATCCAAAGTCGACCCCTGACATGTAATTTGAATTATGATGAATTTAGAACTGTTAAGTCGTTGAATTTTTTTGAATGATTTAAGAAAAATGCATGAAAAGTTTTCGTTTTAAAGTACCATCTTTGCTTAACTAACTGACTTCAACAGATTTTACAACGATCAAGCTGAAATGTTTGCTATTTGTTGACAAACTGATCAGTAACGACATTTTTCTTAAATTTGGCACCTTTAACTAATCCAAAATCCCTTGATTTTTATGCCTTTATTTCTAAGGTTATCCAGAACAAACTGAATGGAACTCAGACGAAAAACCGATAGTGACCAGTGGATCGTGCGCTTCAGCGTCTAACCAACCTACTATGATAACAAACGCACACAACAGTGGATACGTGTCTGTTCCACTCACAAATCATTTTACCTCTTCTCATACTGGAGGTGCAGATGGCAATACCAGTCATATGAATTATTACACAGAGTCAAATAACATTTTTACTTCTGATCTTCAACAGGGACAAACATCTTCTTGGCATCCAAATTGGTATCAATGGTATATTTCTTCTCACATGTTTCCACAAAGACATCCATCGTATTCACAATTCCCATATCACCATTACTATTATCCACACTTAAAGCAACAACAGCAGCAACAGCAACAGCAGTTCAGTCTTGATCACTCAGTTTGTGCACATCGGATGAATCGTTTAGTCACCCCTTTATCTTATGTGGTAAGATATTATTTGAATTTAAAACAGTAATAATCTTAGATTATATTGGAACGTTTCCTAATATAGTAAATGTTCAAGCTGTTAGTAAACAAAGTTCATGATATTTATTCTAATGCTGAAGTATAATGGATTTTTATGATGAATTTGCTCTATAACACACTTATCTACATAGAACGAGAGGAACTGACTATAACGGTTTCATTGTTAAACTAATATTCATTTTTATACTTAAATAATTTTCAAATATTTGTTCTTTATGAACCCATAGTTTTATTGTGATGTACATTCATTAGCCACTATGTTTTTGATATTGGTTTTCTTAGACTTTGCAAGGCAAGCAGTTTCACAGTAAGTAATCATTCTCAATGTTGTGTGTTGATGTTAACCAGTACATTTGATGAGGTGTGTATATGTATAAGCCGTGAGATAAACACTTACAAGTAAATAACACAACATTTGCTGAATCTGATGTATTCATTATGCAACTTGTATTTATCTTAAATCTATGTTGATCTTTTGCTGTGTTGTAAATTTAACTTAATGTTTTCCGTTGTTTATTTTTCCTTATTTATGTTACACGATCTTTTTTGTTGTCATGAGTTTCTGTTTATCGGGAATAATATTTTATTAAAACTGTTTTCTATCTAATACGTTGATATTCTTCACTGTGATCTAGACTCCAATTCATTTCAATGAATGTACTTTAAGTTTGAAATTCGAGTAATCTAGATTTATATGAGTATTGGTTTTTGTTGATACTTCAACCAGTACCAATCAAAACCCTTAATAAAGCTACACCAACCGTATAAATTCTTTTGAAAAGCAAATACAACAATATGGACACCGAAAATGAGATCAGTTTAGAGTTTCACATTCTGCAAAATATACCATAGAAAATCAATGGGAATTTGATGATATTTAAATAAACATGAAGTCTATGAATTACAAAAGGAACAGGTAAATAACAAATACTCAAGTGCTCATTATTTGCGGGTTAAAAAACAAATAGAACCTATCGACTTCACACAATTTCTGAAGCTAATTATTCAAATCTGTGTAATAGATGAGTTGAACAATTTAATTAATTAATCACATACTACACCGAACGATAGTCATACTGTAAGACAGATTAAATATGTGTAGAAAGTTTCACTGATAAGATTTTAGTACACTGGCTGAGTGTAAAAGTGCTAAATACCTAACATAGAAGTTTTAACATCACTCTTAGGAATCGTCTATTTAGAATATCAATGAAGAAATTGAAAGTTTTTTAGTGGTTTTTGTCTTGATCCTAGGTTTTTAAGGAGAATATCGTAAAAACAACGGATTTGTTGGAATATACTTCTTGATAACGAAATTTGTAGGCCATTCAACAAGTGAATTGGATAATGCACTATTTGGTCCAAAGTTTGTTTTCTGCGTCATAGCGAAATATCGACCAGTAGGTTGAAAAAGGTGCTGTTAGCAAGTTTGATTCTTATAGTTGTGAAATGAAGATACTTCTCGATGTTTCATTACTCGCTCCGAATCAATAGCTAGGATTTTAAATATAAATATATATCATTTTCATCCCAATCTCTAACGAAATCTCTTGTGCATTATTTGCTTTTACGATACACAGGTGAACTCTCCTCCAAACTACTCACCGTCGGGACATTTTTGCTGTATGGATGCAAACCATGCCCATATATTCGAAGGTCATTGTTCATCCCCTTTGTCTGAAGGTTGTCATTTCGTCTCCTATGAGCCACAATCCACAGAAAGCCCCTTACAAGCAACAGCAGCAGCCGGTGGTCAATGTTCATGTACAAATCCCGATGGAATCAAACGATTTGCTAACATAAGTTACACCTATTCGGATAGAATTCCAACAAATTCTTACGCAGCTTATAGACCATCAGGAGTATATTCACCTCCACCTGGTTATCCTTGGATTCCATGTATGAACACTGTTCGCTGGGACCCATTTTCGTATAATAACAACGGTACGTTGATGGTTAGCAAAGAATTTCGATCTGAACAATCTCATGTTATTGTGTTTCTTGCATTTGACCGCACTAAGTTATGTTTTTCAAATCAATATGAGTATAGGTTCACTGAACCAAACACCATTTGTTTCTATTAGAAGTTCCATTGGTCGTGATTTATGACACTCTCTTTTATGTATTTCTAGGGTACTTTTAGTGACAAGAAATGCCTCGTGATTTGTCACCAGTGTAGGGAAAAACATTTTTATCACCATGGTTACTATACACCTAACTACTAAAATACTAGTTGAAGGTGATATGTACACCACTATGGGATATAAGTGTAAATTAAGAAGACGATAATATTACGTCGAACAGAAAAAGTGAAAGTCAAGACGAGAAGAAATGACGAGTATTAAAAATGTGTGCGGCAAACACAAGATTATTCAGAAAACCTTTTCAGATTGCTGTAGTGGAACTAACAATATTCTATTAGTTTTATGTTTCGATTCATTTTATTATTAGCATCCTCAATAATATTTAAAATACTAATCAGTAAAATGATTTGATTTGTTAGTCTCACATGTTGACGCAAAAGTACTCTCCTGACTATAATATTTTTTAACTTAACTGTTTCACTAAAAAGCCCACTGTCGTAAGTCATTCATCTGTAATTATTATTGATCTAAGGATTTCGTTCATTGACTTTCCAAACTGTACGATGTTCCTCAGCGTTATTAAAAGTTCTAAATCATGAAAATAATATTATTTTCTGATCAAGTAAAAGGATTTTTTTTGGATAGTTTATTAGTAGCGGCAAGTCATTTATTGTGTGAAACGAAATTAACAAAAAAGATGTATCAGAGCACCATATGTGATTGCTACAATAAATATGTGAGTGAAAAATGTTTCATTTTGGAGCAGTAATACCACCCATTTTATTATATTCAATTACCACCCAAGTGAATAAGTAGAATCGAAGCGTTTTTCATGCAGCTTCCTGAACTAAACCGTTATTTGAATTTAAACATCCCAATTGATATAATAAAGTTCTCTGATAGTTTCCGTATTGTTAGACTGTCGATGATAAAGTTGCCTCAACAAATCTATATTTCGAGATACCCCTAACACTTTGACATTGCAATTAGACAAATGCAAATCAGTTCATAATATGCACAACGTCGCACGAACTCTGAACAATATGAAATAAGTTCAAACTTCCCAACATTATTTCATCACCAACCGAATGCCTCTGTATTTGTCATCAGAAGTAACTGAGCAGAATTACCATTAAATAGAAATTATTACTTATTTATTAACACTTGTTACCGCTATCGGTGCATAAGCCGCTGACCAGCTCTGTTCTGAGCTTTCGTTTCCAATTGCTTTTTGCTCTTTCTATGTCCGCCCACAATACTCACGGCAACGTATCCTTTGGCCTTAAGGATTCCAAGTTAGGGCTTTCCTTGTGACGCAGCTGGGTGGTTTCCGCAATGTGTGTCCACATCCAGTGCTTCTTCTTAACTTCTTCCTCATCTGAAATATTGTTTTCTCTCTCCCATAGTAGGTTGTTGCTTACGGTGTCTGGGATACAGATTCACAGTATCTTTAGTAGACAACTGTTTATAAACATTTGTATCTTGTGGATGATGGCTTTGGTAATTCTCCAAGGGTCCGCTCCATACTATAGAACGGTCTTGACGTTTGTACTGGAAACTCTGGCTTTGGTGTTTGTCGATAGCTGTTTTGAGTTACGGATGTTCGGCAGTTGTAGAAATGCTGCCCTTGCTTTGCTGATCCACGCCTTCACATTGGCGTCAGATCCACCTTGCTCATCAATGATGGTGCCAAGATATGTAGAGGTTTCCATATCTTCGGAAGCATCTCCGTCGTGTGGTTTGTTTAGTGAATGCTGCGTTGTAACGGAGGATCTTGCTTCTTCCCTTGGATGTACTGAGTCCCACTGGTGCAGAAGCTGCTGCTACACTGGTCGTCTTTTCTGGCATTTGTTGCGTGAGGGATATAAGAGAAAAATCATCTACGAAGTCTAGATTGGACAGCTGCATCCTAGCTGTCCACTATCCCGTGTTTTCTCCTGAAACGGTAATTGACGTCTTCAAAATTCAGTCAACCATCAGGAGAAAAAAAGGATGAGGGCAGGCAACCTTGTCTGACACCGGTCTCCACTTGGAATGAATTTGACAGCTGACCTTCATGCACGAACTTGGAGTTTGTGGGAATTCCGTATGATGTTGACTATCTTCTCAGGCAAACCATTGTGTCAAAGAAGCCTCCATGGTGTGATCTTGTCCACGCTGTCCAATGCTTTCTCGTAGTCAATAAAGCTTATATACAGTGGTGAATTCCGTGCAATTGATTGAGACCAGACTGCTAATCTCGAAGTTGGGAGTCTACTGAATCTTTCCTTCGGTTTACTAACACTGTTTAAGTTTTTTGCTTGTATTAAGAGTAGATTGATGCCTCTGTAGTTCTCACAGCTGTTTATATCTCCCTTCTTTGGTGCCTTGAGGTGTTCTTCTTTCCAGTCTGTTGGTATTTGTTCTTCCTCCCAAATCTTGCTGAACAGAACATGGAACATCTTTGCAGCCACTGCTATATCTGTTTTCAATGCCTCAGCTGGTAGGTTGTCTGGTCCTTGTGTTTTGCTACTCTTGATTTACCTAATCACTATGCCATTTTCTTCAATTTTTGATGGGTTAATATCAGTTGAGAGGTTCATAGGTGCAGTCTCTCTGTTCCGGTGCTAAATGGGTTCAGTGGGGCTTGTTTGTTCAAGAGTTGTTCAAAATGCTCTACCCATCTATTTCACTTTTTTTGATATCTGTGATTGGTCTGTTTCCTTGATTCCTGACTAGTTTTTCTGGTTTGCTATGCTTTCAAGTGACCTTCGTTGTATCGCATATTTTCCTCATGTTTCCCTCTTCCTCATCTTTCGCTGCTTTGACTGCTACATCTTCTACATGATTCTCTTTGTTATTTTAAATGCCCCTATTCATTGCCTGGTTTGCTTCTCTGTATTAGGACTATGCCTTCGCCTTCTCTGCCCGTGTTAGGCTGTTATTTACCGCCCTCATCCTGTCCTTTCTCTCGTGAATCTGATCCATTATCAACGAAGATCCATTCATTGTAATGGTGCTTCTTGTGGCCCAAAACCCCATGATAAGCCGAAGTTATTGATTGCTTGATTCCTTTCCAATTGTTCACCATGGTAGTTTTCTGTTCATTGAGTAGATCGTGAATGGCTTGGAACTTATTATTGAGATCTATCTTGAGTTTGTTAGAAGCTTGGCACTCAGGTCAATCAGTATTCAACAGACACATCAACATTGACCCAATTTATCAACCAATCAGAAAAATCATAGACAAACATAGGATCAAGAAACAGATCAAAAGGGGATACAATCAAAATGAAGGTGCAAACAACGACAGGTCCAAGGTCAATAACAACCAATCAAGACCGAGGTTAACAGAACAAGCTACGGGTCAAACATGGCGAAATTCGAATATCTCACTTCTATCTGAAGTTTGTGCTGATGATGTTGTTCAGAAGAGCAAGGAAAGCTCCACAACCAAAACTGTTACGCCTGCATGTAAACTCGTCATTTTGATATACTTGAACTATTATGAGTTTACCTTTGTCGGAAAACGAGAGCGAGGATCCGGTGACACGACATGCTACTCTAATCAGAGTGTCCCAACCCCCATATTGAGTAAAAATAAGAAGACGACATCAAGTTGAACATGTATTCTATGAGCATCCAGAAAGTGCGAGGTCCGAGTCCAGAAGAGAATCAGGATCCCGGACTAGGGATCCGGGACCGGGTCCAGGTCATTGAATGTTACAGATAGTGCATATTTATGCATTTAGGTTGAATAGGAAACATCATCGAAGTATGTGACATTGACAGTTAAGACGACCAATAAGAAACAACATTGGAGCACTTGACATTGATATCTGGGACGATCATAAAATTGACCAGTAGAAATTAACCAATAGGAGTTGACCTATAATTTTCTTAAGATATGGGATGAATATCGTAACAAAAACATCCAGCACAGAGGACGAAACTCCACCACAGATCCGACCAATTTTGTTCTGTGTGGTGTGATCCGGTGATACACATGTAGCTTTGTGTGTGCGCTTGTGTGAGAATATGGTGCCACCTATAACCACTTTATTGAAGACATGTGAATTTACGAATCTGTCAGTCCATGTCGTCTCGTGGTGTCTTCATATCCGGTGTTGCCCATTCCAACCTTGTGTCTAGGTGCTCGATTAGAATGGTTAAATCCTCTGTTGGGCATTTCTGTACGATTGACGGCAGTCTCCCATAGAAGTGATCTTTATCGTTTTCGTTGCTGACGTTAACAGGTGCATAGCATTGAATGACATTCATTGTAATCTCCTTCTTATTTCTCTTGAAGCATACTTTGACGATAGAGGGTTCATGAGATTCTTATCCTATGAGTACTTTTTGCGCTTCCTTGGACACCATCAGTGCAACTCCTTGTGTGTGTGTGAGGCATTTTCTTATTCATGGCCGGAGTACAACAGTATCTCTCCTGAAGCTAATATTGTCAGTCTAGCTTGTGAGTGATAGGTTTCAATCATTCCAAGCACCACCAGGTTGTATCTTTTCATTTCTGCAGTAGCTTGAATAGTTCTTCCCGTCTCCAACATCATGAGAACATTCCATCTATCTATATTAGTGGACGCTTTGGTTGTCAGAAAGCTAATGGAACCCGCGGCTTCTGAATAAATTCCGCTTTCACTGTGAGGCTTCATAAGTCCTCTAAATAAAGACCTTCCAACTCCCAGGGCAGATTTTAAATGGTTTAAAAGATGTTTAATGGTTCGCGATTTTAAGCCAGTTTGTTTTCTACAGGGTGGCGTTGCTAACCACACGCCTAACCACAATCCTTTATTCAGGCTCTAGGCTGAGTAACTAAGACTTACAGCTAGTTGAAAAATAAAATTGCTTTCTATTAGTTTAACGGAATAAATAACAGAAAAAAAATAACAATTTGGATTAATCAGCTTGCTTTCTTAAAATCTCTTTCCAAATTCACTCACATATAAAAATCAGAGCACTTATAAAACATTGCTTTATTTTGCAAATCCCATTAAAAGAATTCTTTGTTCCACAATGAAAAAAATAAATTATTCACTTGTGATGTAGTTGTAATTTGTAAATATTTCTTCGTTTCTCCATTTGTGTCTATCTTTCTGTACACTTCAGTGTTAAATTTAATGAATGCTATGTGATATAATGTCAGAGATGCCCTTTTGTACATGAATTCGTTGTTGGTGGCATTTTATATTTATTTATTATTTTTTACCGTTTATTATCCTCTGTGTGTGTGTGAATCCAAGTGGCTGAATATGTCGGGCTTCGTATAGTTAAACCATTCATTATACGACTTTTTTTCTATATATTTTCATATTAGCTGAATTATCAAAGCTCTGCATAAAAAATACCTAATCTGATGTACTTTTCATGGTATTTGCAAAAAATGTTTTTGTTTTTATGCCTACAGTTATATGCTGTCAAGTTAGTGAATATTAGTCTAACTTGAAATTTCAGCAGTTGTCAGTTTTTAAAACAGTTCTTGTGTTATTTTAAGAAAATCAAGCAAATTAATAGAAGTTCGAGAGTTTTCTGTTTAATGTCATGCTTTTCAAAGATTCATTATGTATACTAGCTTTTGTACGGTTATTTGCTAACTAAATTTTGATGTTTAATATATTACCCATATGTTTGAAATTCATACTTCATTCCTTTGTATTTAAAAAATACACCCCGTCTATATCTATCAGTTATGATCAATGTGGAGCCTACCACAAGTGTGTACTAGTCCAGTTCACCACATCACTTTAGCAGAAAAATATAAAATTAACAAAATGAATAGAGTAGGAGCCAAAATAATATAGTAATAATAGAAATAATAATGAGAAGGACTAAAACTAATAATATGGTTCAAGAATAACAATTAATAGGTGTATATGATGAAATGCAGGAACTCAATAACTAGAGTAAGATAAAGTGTAAACACTTTTGGGCCATTGTGATCGAGTGTCTAAAGATCCAGTTTAATGTTTAAATTACTCCGACAGAATTGAGTCCTATTTTGCCAACTTGGCTTTTAAGCTGTCGGAAAGTATCGATTACTTGTACTAACACAACCATTACGACTTAAACCTGAGTACATGAATCAGCACTTCACAAATGATTGACAATACATTTTTGTCAATCTATTTCGTTTCAATAAAAATTAACTTTTCAACTGTCGAATCAAGAACCAAATTTTTTTTCCAATATGTACATAGGTAAGATTAATTTATGCTTCACTAATTGGTTATTAAGACTACGAGATTTTTATTCTTTAGAAATTAGAGAAATATAAAATATCCGTATGTTTCATTGCCTTATTTTAAAGTAAATAAGGAAAAAGAACCCACAAATAATATGTTTTCAACTTATTTTTCCCTCCTAGAATAACAATAAACAATAAAAAGTCTAAGGTATACGTAACAAACTTCATTTTGATGTGTTTGTACAAACGTTCGACCATGTTGTCAACATTAAATCAAAATGTAATCTGAATGTTATAGGCAAGTAAAATTTCCAATTAGAAGTATTAAAAGAATAAGTATTGTAAGAATAAGATAGCACACCACTTTTCCACTAACTAGAAATATTTATTAGTTAATAAAACTTGTCTGATGAGTCCGAAATGTAGTGGTTGCAAAATCCATACACACAGTTGTAGTTATTATAACGATATTGTATATATTCAGTTTAAAACATTTGTCGTCTTATACAATCTGACTATTGTTTAGATCAATTTTTTTTAAGAACATGTAAAATTCAGTATTTTGTGCCATATGCTTGTTTTTGGTTGAAGACACTACATTTCCTTCATTTTTCAGATTAACTAAGTATTTTATAATATCCATATGATACATTGTGTAAATATATTAGTTCATTTCAATTTTTTATTTTACAGAAAACTACAATTTGAATGCTTATTTTCAACGTCCGGCTTATTATCGACTTACAAATTGTATGCCCCGTTCTGGTAGTGCGAATGCCGGATTTACATATTCCTCTGAAACAGATAATTTATCAAATCATACATCTGAACGTGGAACAGCAGAATTGGATAGATTTAAACAAAATAACAATCGTTGCGAGCATTATTATGCAGTTAATCCTAATAACCAAGTATTTGTATTGTCAGATCAAACAAATGACTATCAAAGTTTCTTGCATCATAGTAACAATAATAATAGTAACAGTGTTTTACAGTCACCTGCTTTACGTTCAATGACTAATTCTTTTAGTGCTAATGATTTAGCTGCTTATCATAACCAGAGTAGAATAGGAATAAGATATACCAAGTCAAGTTTTGATTTAGCTCCAGAACTACCCGTTGAACCGGGATTAGCTTTAATGGATCATTCAAATTTCTATTCAAAAATTTCAGTAAGTTTTAAATATATCATTTTGAATACTTTAAGTAATGTATACTTTTTTAAATAAAGATTTTATTCATTTTCTGTACATTAACTTTTTTATAACTGTTTTGTCAAACAGAGAAGATCATTTAATGCTTGTTTTATTTTATCATTGTATGTATTGCCTAACTTTATTTAAATGATTTCTTTCATTGAAACAAATATTTGCCAGTCATTAATTGAAATGGATAATAATAGTCGTTTGGTTTTACCGAATGGTTGGTCTGAAAGACGATCAAGTCTTGGCCGATCATATTACACATGTGATTCA